AGTGCTGCGGAATGATGAAAGTTCATTCCAGATCTTTTGTCGAGCAAAGTGGGTTATTGTGAGAAAAAAAAATTGTGAGAGGTTTCATCCTGATTGCATAGCGCTTACTGTAAAACATGGTGGTGGATCTCTAATGGTTTGGGAATGCATATCCTGGCATAAGGTTGGTCTTTTTGTATCGTTGCACAGGCAACATGAATCAAGACCAGTACCTTGAAGTGTTAAGAAATCACGAGCTACCTACTGCTAGAGAGTTATGGCAAAACAGGTTCCTTTATCTTCCAAAATGATAATGCACATTGCCATAAAGCTAAGCAAGTGTGTAATTTCTTACATGATAAGGGTGCTGGGCAAATGGATTGGCCACCCCAGAGCTCAGATACGACACATAATTCGAAACTTGCTGCAATATCCTTGGAATAACATCACTTCACAGCACCTTTAAGATCTTATTGAGTCTATGCCTTGATGAATTAAACAGCTGCGTTTAGCTAAGGGTGGACATACTAAGTATTAGTAACTCTTGACTGACTATTTACTGTAGTTTATCCAAAGGTAAACTGTGTACAAATATTGAGCGATTGTTTGGTGTTTCTGTTTTATTTAGTGAGTAATTCTATTAAAATTTACTGGACATATGACGTTTTTTTTCTTCGCATTAATGCTTTTCAGAATATCTAAATTCCGATCATTTGTCAGTAGATGACGTAGAACAAACGAAAAATGGCGGATCTCATCAATAAACTCGTCTTCACTAAGATCAAAATAATTTTTATTTATCATTTGATGATGCCCCATAAACGTGATGCCCAGGAGAAACAATATATATATATATATATATATATATATATATATATATATATATATATATATATATATATATATATATAAATATATATATATATATATATATATATATATATATATATATATATATATATATATATATATATATATATATATATATATATATATATATATATATATATATATATATATATATATATATATATAAGGGCTGTACCGGATTTCGGTTCCGGCTCCTGTCCCGGCCCAAATCCGGCCATTATTAGAAATCCGGATTAAATCCGGCACCGGCAAAATGTTAACAAATCCGGCATAATTTTGGCCGGATTTCTGAATTTTGGTAAGATATTTTTAACACATTTTTTACCCATGTTTACACGTATAGTTAATATTTTATTTATACATATTAATGTTTTTTGTAATTCTATATTCTATGAATTTTATGTTTGGTTTGGTATCTGTATTTACATTTTTTCACAATTTAATTAGCTAAGCCTAATTTCAAACAACAATGCAACAAAAAATGATGCAGATATAAAGACAATGAAGTTAACTCTAATCAAATCATTGGATGAGCGTTTAAAAGGCATTCAGGAGAAATCTCTCTATATAGTGGCGACACTGGTTGATTCACAATTTAAAACTATATTCTTCTTAATACAGGCAACACTGACAGGTGAAAAAGCAAGATTGAAGTAAATCCTAGCATGCTAAGCAGCAGATTGACAAAACTGAAGAAAATCCAGCAAAATAAGCCCGGCTGGATAATTCTTCTACACCATCATCATTATCCTGGCATTATAATGATAAAATTTTTCAGTCTAAGTCCGTTGGTGGCAAAGCACATGAATAACAATTACCAATAGACATTGACACTCAGCCAAAAATAAATAGACACGCTGATCCACTACAGTGGCGGAGTGACAACATCCCGTAAAAAAAGTTCTATATACATATCGCCATTAGAAACTTTCTAGAATTTAAATAGAATGTCTATTAATTTCTATAGAAAATGCTATAAAACTTTTTTAATAACAACAATGAAGTTTAATAGAAAACAGTTGTCACTTTGTCAATTTTCATTTGGTATTTTGAATAGTCAACATTCTTGACCATTCTCAGCATCAAGTAAAGATGTACAGGAATTTGGCTCCTGTAGTTTTGTTTCGAAATCCGGCTCCGGCTCCGATTCCGGCCGGATCTGTTAGTAGAAATCCGGCAAATCCGACTCTAGCCGGATCTGGCAAAATTAAATCCGGTACACCCGTAATATATATATATATATATATATATATATATATATATATATATATATATATATATATATATATATATATATATATATATATATATATATATATATATATATATATATATATATATATATATATATATATATATATATATATATATATATATATATATGACTTTAAAGATTGCAAATTAAATAAATCAGGAAAGCAAGATGATGGAAGTGAATTCCAAAGAATGGATGTTCGAAGAAAAAGATTAGACAAATAAAAATTTCGGAGCACTTAGAAACAATCAAAGTAAAAGGATGAGAACTAATTGAATGACAAATAACACAAGAATGAACTTTAGTAGAAAACATAAAAGCTAGCTCTTTAGAACAGTGCTCATTATAGTGTTTATAGAAAAGAAAAAGAAAAGCAAAATTTCAACGATGTAATAATAGTTGGTGGTTGGCTGCAAGAGCAGGTTCAACTATGTTTACAATGCCTTTTTGCACCTTATCTAAAAGAAAAAGGGCATCGTTGGAAGAACCGTCCCAGATATGGCAATAGTGTTTAATACACTATTTGAGATGTATATAGAGATAAAGAATAAAATTGGAAATGAAAAAACGTCATAAGCGATAGGCTCAGCCTCTCTACATCTATCTAATGCACAATAAAATCTATCAGTTATTATTGTTAACGAATCAGTAGTAGAACTAGAAGATCAAAATCCATATCATCATCAATCCATGATAATCATAAAGTAAGTTATTAAATTCAAGATGCGAGATTATATGTTTGTTAATAAAAGACTAAAAAACCTTGCTTATGATAGGAAAAATAATAATAGGACGTTAGTTAGACAAGTCAGATTGCTCTCCAGAGTTTTTGAAAAAAAAGATATCAGAAGACTCTTATAAGCACTTGTTAAATAGTTTAGAATGTATTGACAACAACTCCGAAAAACACTTCTGAAAGTCTATAATAGGTTTGTTGTCCGGATTACAATCTCTAGTAGAGTCTAAGCAGGAAATCACTTTAAATAATGAAGCTAGAATGATATAAGTGTCAACCCATGGATCAATCTGTTTTTCGGCTAGATCAATCAGAACGCAACTAGTGAAATTAAGAGATTATATTGATGAAAAGATCTTAGAAAACATTTCAGCCTTATTTTTAGGTGAGGTCACAAAATCTGAACCATGCAAGAGAGGTAAAATAACAGACTTGCCTTTATTATAGAAACTGTTCAAAATTCTCCAGAAGTTACGAGAGCCTAACTTTTGAAATGAAATACGAGATTTTGTCAGCTGAGAATTTGCTCTAACCACAAAGTGGGCTTTGGTCTTAGATAAAACCTTTTTACAATGGTTTCGAGCAATAGTAAACAGTCGTTTATTTTTTGGAGAATCTTTTTGTTGATAGAAATGGAAGTAATGGTTTCCATAAAAAATTGCAGCAGCACAATGCTAGGAAATCCATAGAGAAGAGTGAGACTTGACTTAGAATTCTAGAGAAGGAGTTAAAGATTCTTAGCCAGTCTGAATCCAAGAAGTTAGGTAAGAAGCACTTTGTCAGCAGGAAAACGAAAGATTCCTATCCAAGTGTCGTCACGAAAAAAAATCACGAAAAGAGTCACAGTCAGCTTTAAGGTAGTTATAAGAGATACGATAACAGGGGGATTCTGATAATTAAGAATTATGAGACTTATAATTATGTGCTGTTTTAATTCTGTCTTAAACTATTCTTTTGTTTTCTTATATATCTACTTACCAAAAATTGATAAATTCATTAGCTAATCATACAAGTATGTCTGGAAATAGGAAACTGCCCAGTTAGGATCAGTAAGCTCATAAAATTGTACAAGTTACTATTTAATTTACGCTATGCATAAATAACAAGCTTCATGCTTTTTTTAAAAGTTTTTTTTTTCTTTATACATGAAACCGCAGCTGATTTTTGTGGTTTTAAAAGATATTGTTATGCTCAAAATCATTTTTAAAATTTTAAATGTGAATATTACAAATATGTTTTTTTATTTAGTTTTGAATATAATGAATATTTATTTTTCAGGTTTTGTCCACCATCTGACTCACTGTGCAGCGTCTAAAGTTTTCTTATACAAAGTTAACAAAGTTGTGTCGTTTATAAAACATTTAAAATGTATAACTTTTAACCTTACCATTGGAAAAATGATGTTGACACCAATTACAAAACGAAAAACAATAACCCACAAAAAAAAAAAAAAACATCTATAAATCATGTGTGGTTTAATAATATATACTCATTTAATTAAGCATTTATAAGTATTTTGAAAAGGTATAACCTTACCATTGCTACTAGGTATTGATGCCACTAAAGAATACAAAATAAAAAGGAAAATAAGCAAATTTTTTCTTTAAATTTATGGAATATATACTTATTAAAAAATAATGTGTATGTTTGTACCACTATTAAAAATTGCTGCCATCATTAAAAATTAAAAAATAAAAAGACTTGAAGTTCATTTAATCATTTTTGAAAAGATATAATATAAAACATTAACATTGGTATAAGATAAAGCTGCCATTAAGAGTACAAAATTAACAGGATTTAATACATATTAATATGATGGGTCATTTATAAGTATTTTGAAAAGACCACTGCTACTATTGCTATTTAATATCAAATGTTGATGCATTAAAAAATGTTGATGCATCAAAAAATGTTGATGCATCTAAAAATGTTGATGCATCTATCAAATGTTAATGCATCTAAAAAGCACAAAATAAAAAAGAAAATTTAAAAAATACTTTTCTTTTGATTTGATTTTCAAATTTGTAGTCATTAATAATGATTTTGAAAAATATAATTTGTAACACTATCATTTGTTGTCAACACATAAAAACTCAAAATAAAATAGAAAATAAGTAATCATTTGATTCACAAATTAATTTTGAAAAGATATAGTCTTACAATTGCTACAAGGTGTCAATCCCGCTCCGGCAAATGACACTATTAAATTTTACGATACATATTTGTTTCGAATAGATACATATAACATTACCACGTGCACTTAATGTTATTGCCACTACAGATATATAAATAAAATAATTTAAAAGACACATTCACATATTATATCATTTATAATGATTTAGAAAAGATATAATATTATCATAGGAGCAAGATGTTGTTGCCACTATAGAATACAAGATAAAAAGAGTATAATATATAACAATTTGATTAGTCAATAATAATTATTTTGATAAGATATAACATTTCTGCTTCTACTAAGTGTTAGTGCCACTACAAAAAAAAGATATCTTCTCATACTATGTCATTTATAATCATTTTGAAAAGATACAGTCTATCATTACTATATTATAAAAAAGGGTATAATATAAAATTATTTAATTGGCTATTTACAACTATTTTGAAAAGATATAAAGTTACCATTGTTACTAGATATTGATGTCCCTAGTGTTGATGCTACTAAACTATATGTCCCTTGTGTTGATGCTACTAAACTAGTGTTGATGCTACTAAAGTCTATATAGAAAAAGGCTTTATAAGTAAATGACACTTTTAAAGTTTATTAAATATTTATTACAATAAGTTGGGGTATAACCGCATGGAGAAGTGGGGGCAAAACCCCATATGGAGGCGCAACCGTTTTTTAACATTTTGCTTTGAAAAATGTTATCTAATATGGCAAAAAACAATTCACGCGTTGATTAAACAGTTTCCTTCATTTCGTTTATGTCAAAATGAGTGCCTAATGCGTTTCTGAGAAGTTGTGCATAATAATGTATATTTTGATAAAAATATTATATTTACATCATACTTTTCCAGACCTTTCTTTTGAGGATTAGGCAATGTTTGATTTTAGTATTAAAGATAGATGTTATTAGCGTTATTTCATCAAGTGAAAACCATTTTTGATATCAACATAATCTAATAAGCAAGCTGTGAAACTATATTCTTTCTGAAAACTCTCTTCTGGGGCAGAACCGCATAGACGCACAGGAGACACAACCGCATACTTTTGATATTTTTCAAAGATAGGTTATTACGAATAACAATATATACAATCGACACACTTAAATGTGTTCATATAAAAGCTTGAATAGAAATAGTTTTGTTTTGAAATGTTGGAAATTAGATTTCGTACTTTTTTATTTAATTTTTATAAATGAGTTTTTGATTAAAATATATAGTTTTGGATTAAAATATAAAAATATTGATTAAGGTGGCTCCTATAGAAAAAATACTCAATTAAAAAAAAAATTCGATTTTTTTTTTTTATATACATTTCGACGCAAAATTTATCATACTTTCAGAAAATATGTACATTTTGCATAAAAAATTTATAACAGTTACCTTACTTTAATTTTTTGATCGCTCAGTTTTATTGTTTTGCTAATAATTTTTATTTATAAAAAAACTTTGGTTGTTGTGTTCTCAACTTTTTAATTTTATTCTTTTTTTGCAACTTCAAAACATGATATCTCGAGATTTAATGGTTTCATCAGTTTTTATAACACAATACATGTTTTTTTATGTATAAAGTTGTGATTTTTTTAAGTATTGTGTCCCGTTTTTGATATTTTAATTATTTACAGGAAAAGAACAGGAGAAAGTAAAACAACATTGCTAGCAAGATGACATGTCCTTTTTTGATCACTTAGTATTATGCTATAGGTACTTAAAAAGTACAGGAAGTTTCCCAAAATTGCATTTCCGATCACTTCCATCTATCAGTAATGCAAGATGGAACTCAAGAGCCATTTATGCTTTGTTTAGTTTCATCCTGATTGGCATCAGGATTTTAAGTACCAATAGCATGATACTAAGTGATCAAAAAAGGACATGTCATCTCGCTAGCAATGTTGTTTTAGACAATGTTGTTTGAGTTAGACAAACAGCAAAAGTGGCATGTGATTTCATCTGTGATTCATGGTTAAAAGTCTGGTTCTCTTCTCAGTTCTTCAATCTTGTTGACTTTGATAATTTGTCAGAAGCTTCTAAAGAGTATCCTTAGGCTTTGCGCTCATTAAGGAAGTTTTGGTCAGTGGAACTTACGCCTTTAGCAACTCAGCATTTTTCTCATTTTGAGGGTGAACTTTTTTTAAGCAAAAAGAAAAATACTTACTTATTCGTTATTTGTACACAAAACCTCCACTAATTATCATATGGGCATATAGGGTTATGAAATTGTCATATCCCTAATATATATATATATATATATATATATATATATATATATATATATATATATATATATATATATATATATATATATATATATATATATATATATATATATATATATATATATATATATATATATATATATATATATATATATATATATATATATATATATATATATATATATATATATATATATATATAGTACCATCCATAAATATTTGAATGATATAAACTTTTTTAAAAGGCTTTAATTTAATTTTTTTTTTTTTTTTTGCACTATTAGTTAATTTCATAAACATTAAAGTAATTTAGTAAAAATGTTTTGATAAAAATCGTATAAATGCTAAAGTTGGCAAAAATACATAAAAATGGATCATCAATGAATGGACCTACGTATACGTCTACAACGTTGAAGTCTATGTTTCCAAGTAATGATTGTTCCAAAAGCAAAGTTTTTGAATGTATCATAAAGCAGTGTTTATCATCAATTGTGAAATCAATTGTGAAATCAAACATGGTAGATCTAGTGTTAAGGTGTGGGGCTGTTTTGGTAGAAGTGCCACAAGTGACTCTGGAAAACAACATTATGGTTGTTATAAACACTACGCAATATCAATTAATGTATCTCAAGACAAGAATGCAAAGTTGTACAAAAAATGATTAATGTGCGCATTTTCTTATCATTTCAATTAATAAAATTTAAAAAAATCACTACATTTTTCTGAACGAACTCTAAAACTAATATTGATTATATTCTAGCCTGTTATGCAAGTATTGAACCATGTAATATTTGTGATTCAAAATATGATTATTGATTTATTATTCATAACTGTTTGGGATAGTTGATCAAAATAACTTCACAATGGTCTTCACTATGCATCACTTATAGAAATAATTAATTAAAAAAACATTCTATGTTTATGTAAATAACAAACTCTGTAAAATGATCTAAATTTGTGTCGGACACGTGACTTTTTCTGCCACTGTATATATATCGTCCCCTCAGTATTATCTTGTTATATCTACAAATGAAATAAATAAAATGTTCTATCTTATATATAAAATAAATACAAAAGATATATATAGGGGAAATAGGGGTATAACTGCCCCCGTAACGTATGGATTAATGTTATGTAAAAATAAAAACGAAATGTGTCTTTTTAAAAGTTTATTTCAATAACCACATTATTAAGTCTTAAATTGCTGCAACTAGGAAAAAATAAAATGGTTTTTGAAAATGTTATTACACAAAAGTAGACTTAAAAAAAACGGTTTTGCCCCTATTGTGAGGCACAATCGCACCCTCACGAAAATCGTTAAAGGTACACTTTTCTTGGTACATTTTTTTCTAAAATTAAGAAATATACAATTATATACCTACATTATATAATAATATAATAATCATCAGATATAGGTAAATATAACAAGATATTGATTTATACTTTAATTAATATTTTTATATTTTAATCAAAAACTCATTTAAAAAAACTAACTAAAAAAGTACGAAATCTAATTTCCAACATTTTAAAACAAAACTATTTTTATTCAAGCTTTTATATGAACCCACTTAAGTGTAACGATTGTTTATATTGTTACTCGTAATTACCTATCTTTGACAAATATCAAAAGTATGCGGTTGTGTCTCCTGTGCATCAATGCGGTTCTGCCTCAGAAGAAAGTTTTCAGTTTGACAGCTTGCTTATTAGGTTATGATGATATCAAAAATGGTTTTCACTTGATGAAATAACGCTGATAATATATACCTTTAACACTAAAATCAAATATTGCTTAATCCTCAAAAGGAAAGTCTGGAAAAGTATGATGGAAATATAATATTTTTATCAAAATAAACACTATTATGCACAATTTCTCAGAAAAGCATCAGGCACTCTTTTGACATAAACGAAATGAAAGAAACTTTTAACCAACACGTGGCACATTTTTTGCTATATCAAAGAGAAATGTTAAAAAACGGTTGCGCCTACATATGCGGTTGTGCCCCCACTTCCCCTACAAATAAGTACAATCTTTTTCCTGATATAATATAATACAATATATTACATAGAACATTTTATTTATTTATATAGAATTTTTTTTTTATTCATTTTATATATCAGATTGTCATATCCATAATATATATATATATATATATATATATATATATATATATATATATATATATATATATATATATATATATATATATATATATATATATATATATATATATATATATATATATATATATATATATATATATATATATATATATATATATATATATATATATTAGGGTGTAACAAAAACATACTTTTTTTTTTCCAGGATACCTCTCAGTTTTTTTCCCTCTGATGTCCACTAAGGCTAAAATGCAACAGAAAAAAAAATTCCGTAACCAGTAAGTGATAGCTGTAAAATTTGAAAAAATTATTTTTTTAAAAATAAATGTCTGTTACATTAATGTTATAATTAATATGTAATTAAATTTTTTTTTTTTTTCATTTTGTTTTTAATAAAGTTAATTATGATGCCTAAGTTGAATAGTATTATTATGACTTTTTAAAAGCATGTTTTGGTTTTTAGAATAGGCTCGGGTATGTTTAGGCAAAAAGTATTGAGAGGCACGGAAATATGCTTAAGCCTACAAAAATGCTTGCTAAGTCGTTACTCTTTTAAAAAAGGCAAATAAACTTTCTTCGAATTCGACACATAAATATTTTATTTTACACTAATAAAATTTCATCAAATGGTTTTCATGCATCAAGTAAACACCTTTAAGAGTTTCGGTATAAATAGATTTGTGCTCAAAAACATGCGTAATTTAGAATAGAGCTCAGCAAAAAGGTGTACCAGAAATAGGTGTTTTTTTTTTTCTTTTTGAAGACATTTCTCAAGTTTTTGTCATTCTCTGAAGTCCACTGAGGCTATCAATAACCAAAAAAACAAAATCAGTTGTCAAAAAGTGATTTTTGTGAAACTTAAAAAAAAATTAAATCTTTTGAAAATGAATATTGTTTTATTGTCAATGTTATTTAATTTCTGCAGACATTTAGCTCAATTATATTAGTTTAATGCATGCTTTTATTTTATATGAATATTGAGTTTTTGTAACAGGCTTGGGTACGTCTATCTAAAATATTTTAAGAGGCTTATAATTATACTTACGGTTACGAAACCGAGTGCATTCCCGTAAGCCTTGTGGTCAAGAAAAAAAATCTATACTTCTATATCTCCCAGTAAACACAGATTGGTCAATATTTAGTCGAAATTGGTCGAAAAATTGGATAAAACGTTTAGCGACTTATTATTGACTAAAAATTGACGCTTGATTTGAAATGTATATTTCAATCTCTTTTATATATACGTTTACTAAACGTTGATATAACCTTTAGAATATCAACTTATATTAGTCCGTTTTGTAAATTTTTAATCGACCTTAGTTGAACGTAAACATTTATAGATTAAAATCTTTACTTTAAATCTTTTAATACATACGTTTACTAAACGTCGATCAAACGTTTACAGTATTGACTAATATAAGTCTTGATTATACACGTTTGATTGACGTTTAATAAACGTATATTATATTATAATAAAGTAATATAGCCATTGGTAAAAAGACTCACATAACAGCTTAAGTCACGCGGTTTTAATAGGCATAATTAAAACGAAATAAAAAACCTAATATAAAATTATTTTTTATACACTAAATATTTAGTTAGACTTCAAAGCGTTTTTAAGATTTACTTCCTTACAACAACTGAAAGCAAAACGACTGATAAATAAATAATAAAAGAGTGTCGGGTGCGCCATTTTAATTCATCATAGTTAAGACGCTCTTATCGCAAGAACCTACCTTTTTAAATGCCAACAAATCAATGGACTCTGACGTTTTAGAAATTATTGACGGCGACATTGATACAGTTAAAAAATATGAGTTCCTAGTCTCTCGTTATAAAAGTCCTTCTCCAAGAAATTTTTTCATAAGTTTTATAAACAGTTTAATTTCATTTTGTAAACGCTAGTATGATTGTGTAACAGTAGGTGTTTACCTTTGCAATAATCGAGAGGTTTAATAACTGAATATATTATTTTTATTTTAGATATTTAGTTTATACTTGCTAAAGAAAATTGGTGGAACAGAGTCGCAACGTTACTAATTTTTTAATGTCAAAAGTAAACATCCATGTTTACTTTTACAGGAAATTTCGGAAACTTTCATTCAGTAAATTATCTATATGTAAAGTTATCCGTGTAATTCCAATTTTGATTTATGAATTTATATTTAAAATGCTGACTATTTTACCCTAATATTTTTGCGGTTACAAATCAGGTTACGAAATCAGACGATCAGGACACGAATGAAGGAGAATATGTTGCACATACAGGTACAAGCGGTAGAAGGTATTCTCGGAAAATTTTTTAAAATGTATAAACCAGAGAAAACACTACAAAAAGCTTGAATATTTAATTTTTTTTAATTATTGGAACATAAACAAGTATAGTACACAAACATTGTTTCTTTTAATCCCCACTATATGAAAACGTTTTATATAAGTTTATAACTTTATATATAGTTTTATAAAGTAAAAGTATAACATAAGCAAAATAGCATAAAAGTTTATAGACATATTTTAATAGTTAAAAAATATATAAAAAAAGACCAGGTTTTCTATAAGTGTATCTTATTTATAAATTTCATTACTTTTATAACTATATCTTATTTATAAACTTCAAGACCTATATAGCTTTTATAACTTATGTAAAGTTAAAAAGTTATAACGTAATTTTAATTTATATTTGTTTTAAAACTTAAATAAATTGAAAACAAATTCCGTTAACTAAATCAAAGAAACTATTAAACAAGATTTAAAAGTTTAATATACGTTTACTGAGACTAAATTTAAATGCTTTATATACGATAATTAGACTAGATTAAAACGTAAATTAGACAAAAGCTAAACGCTTTATATACGTATAATAATTCTATAATAGACGTCTAAAATACGTTTGAATATAGACATTTATGGACTATATATATGTCTTGAAATTTATAAATAAGATATAGTTACAAAATTAATGAAATTTATAAATAAGTTACAGTTAGTAAAAAGACCTGGTCTTACTTTTTATATTTTTTATAACTTATAATATGCTTATAAAATTTTATGCTATATTATTTATACTATACTTTTATTTTATAAAACTATATATAAAGTTATAAACTTATTTGAAAATTTTTTATATAGTAGGGATTTAGAAAAAAATGTTCGTGCACTATACCTGTTTATGCTTCGATAATTAAAAAAAGTTAAGCGATCAAGCACTTGCAGTGGAAACTTGATAGTAACAATTTTTATGAAATATTTTTTAAATTTAATCTCATTGGCAGAAAATTAAAGTTTACATTATAACAAAGTTAAAGGTAATTAATAAAATTAATAAACTCAAAAACATATATTTTGGATCACTGTTTTCTCTGATTTATGCATTATCAAAAATATTCTTAGTATACCGTCTACCGCTTGTTTATCATGCGCCTGTTCTTGAGCAACATCATCAACATTTGTATCCAATTGTAAGTCATCAACATTTGTATGCAATTGGAAGTCTAACTTTGTAACCAGATTTTGTAACCGCAAAAAACAAGGAAAAAATAGTTAGCATTTAATTGTAAATTAAAAAATCAAAATTGGCATTACTCAACAACATATAGAGAGTTTTCATGTATAATCCATGTTTATTTTTGACATTAAAAGTTTAGTAAAATCTCAACATAACAAATGCAGTACTCGCTCTGTTCCACCAATTTTCTTTAGCAAATATAACTAAATTAAGCTCAAATGCATCTAAAATGAACAAATAAAATTTTAGTCATTAAACCTCTTGATTATAAAAACGATGAATACCTACTGTTACACAATCATAATAGCGTTTAAAAAATGAATTTAAACTGTTTATATAACATTCGAAAAACGTTCTTGCAGCAGGATTTTTATAACGAGAAACTAGCAACTCATATTCTTCAACTGTGTCAGTGTAGCCAGCAACTGTGTCAGTGTGGCCAGCATCAGTGTCAGTCAATGTCAATAATTTCTAAAACATCGGATTCCATTGATTTGTTTGCATTTAGGAAGGTAGATTGGCGCGTATAGAGCGTTTTAACTTGATTTAAAATGGCGCACTCAAATCTTGTTTATTATTTATTTATCAGTCGTTCTGCTTTAAGTTTTTGAAGGTAAGTGAATCTTGGAAACGCATTTAAGTCTAATTTAAATGTAATTAGTAAGCATTAAAAGTTGTGATCGAAATGGATTAATAAAATAAAAGTTTACTAAATATGTTTTTAACAACTATTCGATCAATCAAGAAGTTAGTTAAAACAAAAATCACGATTAAGGCGAAGTAATTGTTTCTTGGGTACCTCAATTATAGGAATAAATAGGAAGTTTTAGACAATCTCTATTACCTATTTGAACTTTATTTTTTGCTTGCCTGTTCAGCTATAGGTTAGTTACGTTCTTTACGACTATTCTTTCTGCCAGGAACTTTTTAAATCCCTTAATGATTTTATTTTGTGTAAGATTATTTATGCTGGATTTATAAACAAATTCTTTTAATCTAAATATAAAATACATGGCAAAAATATAAAGAGATATAAAATACATGGCAAAAATACTACCAATTCTTATCTAGACATTTATTTATTTAATTCTAATCTAGAAATTTATTATTATTCGTTCAAAATCACAACAAAAAATAACAACAAACCGACATTTAATATTGTTTACGAACGCTTTACCTTCCGTTTTTTTATTTTTAATGCTTTAATTGCTTATTTAAAACAATATTGTTAGCTAGCTTTTATTAAAAGTGGAATGTGATTGGTTAACTTTGAATTATGATATTTCCTCGTTGAAAATTGAAAATAATGTTACTACTAAGGGAAATGACGTATTTTAACTTCGTTTTCCTCCAACTACGCTATAATAACTCCTTGCCACAACTAGGCTGAACGCTCTTGTCAGTTTTTAATTGTTTTGACTGTTATAATAACATTAGACTAAAATTACTCTAAACAATCTAGTCTTATCTTTAATTTAGAGATAAGAAGCTATACAAATTATTTGCTTATTATATTTGAATAAAGTAATAAATTTCATGAGTTCATGACTTCAATACAAATATTTATTTATAATAATATAATAATATTTATTACAACAAATTACTCAACCAATGTTACCTGTTATGTTGGTGGCAAGAATAAACAACTTGTTAAAATTATTTCAACGTATATTATATTTTGTATTATTATGCGTTTTTGAATGTCTACTTTCTAATACCTATAGCTATGTTTTGTTTTAGTTATGCGTATTTAAACCGCGTGACTTTGGCTGTTATGTGAGTCTTCTGACCAATGGCTATATTACTTTATTATAATATAATATACGTTTATTAAACGTCGATCAAACGTGTATAATAAAGACTTATATTAGTCATTACTGTAAACGTTTGATCGACGTTTAGTAAACGTATGTATTAAAAGATCTAAAGTAAAGATTTTAATCTATAAATGTTTACGTTCAACTAAGGTCGATTAAAAGTTTACAAAACGGACTAATATAAGTTGATATTCTAAACGTTACATTAACGTTTAGTAAACGTATATATAAAAATGTTTGAAATGTGCATTTCAAATCAAGCGTCGGTTTTTAGTCAATAATAGGTCGCTAAACGTTTTATCGTTTTTCGTCCGATTTCGATTAAATATTGACCAAAATGTAGATAAGAAAATCGTAATACTGTTTGAATAAGTTCATCAAACAAACAAAGTTAAAAGTGCGATTTTAAATCTATCAACTAAACCAATCACAGTTGAACAAGAATTTTTAAATCTAAGTCCAAAATCTGCGAGCTAAATTATCTTTAACTGACATTCATAAATTAATTGAACTTTGTCTAAGTAAATGCTATTTTTTGTGGGATAATAAAATTTATTTTCTAGTCCGATTGGATTATTTATCCAATGGTAGTAATTTCAGAAACTTAATTATCTACATTACAACATAATAAATATAATGCGACTCCACAAGCATTAACCATTGATGTTGCAGGAATAACATTTAAACAATGTGTTGATGACTGTCATGCACGTTTTTCTAACTCTGATAAAGCAGAATCGTTTTTGACACTTTTAAATTCTGAAGACAAAGCTATTCAATACACATATGAATACCAAAATAATCAAAGTCAACTAAATTTTTTAGATATGTGCATTTCAACTAATCATATAACTCACAGATATAACTTTTCTTTATACCGCAAAAATGCAGTAACGAAGGTACTTGTAAAACCGCAATCGTGTATATCACCATTTATTGCATTTAGTATTTTTAAAGGTTATCTTGCAAGAGCTTGTAAATTATGCACTTGTGATTATGTAAAAAAAGAAATTGAGTTCCAAATTAATATTTGTAAAAAGTAGGCGGGGATGGCACTACCCCCCTCTCTCCACCACCACTTTTTTCCTAATGTTTTTTTTTTTTTTTTAATATATAAATATTCTAAGAATAAAGAGGACTTTTTTAGTTAAGCCTTATTCTTAAACGTGAGTTTCAAAAAGTTGGCAAAAAAACAGTTTTTCGTTTTGGATAATCTTTGCTAAACATTTTATGCCAAAAGAAACCAAAGCAACCACCAAACAGTTACCCGGGTGATTACCAACTTGAATATACATGTCGCAATTTTTATGTGGGTAAAACCAGGAAAAAAATAACAACACAAATAGCTGAACATCAAAAAAATGTGACTAAAGCAAACTGGATAGCGTCTGGAATTGTTTAACATGCACAACATTGCAAAGGTGCAATTAAATGGAATAATTCTAAAACACTTTCAGTTATCCCAAAGAACTATACTAGAAATATTAGGGAGGCAATTGAAATAGAGAGATTGTGGAGTGCGACCAAAAAAAAAGTTCTTAACCGTAATAATGGCAACCTAGTGATGGCATTGGTAACTTTTTTTTTTTAATGTAAAATAATTTTTATAACATTACGCAGCAATTACATCATTACTGTAAATAACGAATTTTTGTAACATTTTAGTTTGAAAATGGCTCTAACTATATGAGCCGAAATATCACATTTAAAATTTAAAAATTTTTAAGTTAGCTAGTATGTCACCGTAAATTTTTACAATTCTGTTATCAATGTAACTTCTGTTATAAAATATAATCAAACTATAATCAATTGAGATAATAGAAATATTATTAAAAAAAAAAAACATCATTTAAAAATAAATTTCTTTTTTATTTGATAAATTTATAAAAGTTTATTTAAAGTTATACAAATTTATTTAAAATATAATTTATTCAAAAATAAATTTTAAACTTAATTTATTATAACTGTTAGTGTTTAGATGTTGTAATGGCTTGTTCCTAATAATCTATTCATTAGTATTATTTTAACTATAATTACTAACATAGCTATTTACTTCCTATTTATTGTTTCTTACATTCTCTTTAATATTGCTTGCACTATGACTTGAAACTGTTATTTATGTGAAAAAAAAAATTAGTCAAAATTGCCGCTTAACTCAAAGTAATATTTTTTTATTTTAGACTCATACAAAATGTGACAGGCTCAACGATACTACGTAAAGTTTACCACAATTAAGTCGCTCGTTGTGGCATTGTGTAAACTGTCTTTCCATTCACAGATGTACCAGGTAACAAATTTAAATTGCTATTTTCTTCTGATAAAATTCTCAAAACTAATGATTTACCTTTGTCTACAAACCTTTTCCCGTTTTTTCATTTAAATAAAGTCTCTAATCAAATTAATAATTAAGTTTCATCTTGTGTTTTAGAATCTAATGAAAAAATCTCTTCTTCTTTAGAAATAGTTTGTAAATATTATGAGATAAGCGAATTATGAAGACGTAACTTTAATAAAATAAACTCACTTTCCTTTTTTCATCTAAACACATCATCGTTGCAAAAACACTTTGAGGATTTAAACATAATACTACCGTTAATTAATTTTGATTTTTCCATTATTGGTTTAACTGAAACAAGGTTAAAAAAAAAAATCTTCTTTTATTCGATTTTCATTGATAATTACAACATTGAGCACACACTAACGACACCCTTATGTGCTGAAACATTATTACATTTATCATAAAAACTAATATACAAACGAAGAAATGATTTATTGATTTACACATCTAATTATTTAGAATCCACCTTTATTAAAACTATTTTTTCTAAAATGTCTAATATAATTGTTGGTTGCATTTATAGACACCCTTGCATGGATATCAATAGTTTTAATAAAACCATGCCTGTCCTACTTAAAAAATATCTCCTGAAAACAAATCTGTTTTCTTACTTGGTGATTATAATATTGATCTGATACAATAAAATAACGAAATTGCAACGTCTGATTTTTTATACTTATTTTCTTTTTATAATATATGCCTATTCATCACTCTGCCAATTAGAATTTCTGATCACTCTGCTACAACTGAAGATAATATTTACTCTAACTTAATAACAAATGATACTATTTCTGAAAAATTTGAAAAATTCTATTTCTGATCACTTACCTAAATTTTGCATTTGTCCCAATTTCAATAAACTATTTAAATCACGCAGACACAATTTATATAGCAGGAGTTTTAAAAATTTCAATAAAGAAAACGTTAAATCTGATTTATCAAAAATGGACTGGGATGATGTTATGAAGTCCGATGATACTTACTAATGTTTACATAGGTTGCTGAAGCAACATCGATTTTAGATTGCAATGCCCCACTTAAAAAAACAATTATCAAAAACTTCAAACGTCGATTCAAACCATGGATTCACGGCGGTTATTTTTTACTGTTTATCTCCCAAATGCTTTTTTTAAAATATACTAAAATTTATCAAAGCTTGATCCAAAACGTCCGCAAATTATAATTTTTGAAGAAAAATTGTAAAAAAATATAATCTTTAGCATTAAATTAGGGTTATATAATAGTGTTTTAAGTTAAATTTTTTTTTTTTAAATAAAATCTGCTTGTTAAAAAATAAATAGATATTGAAATTCAATTTCTTTTAAAAACTAGTACTAAAACTAAAAATAATCAGCTTGGTAAATTACATGATCATATGATTGTTATATCAGATCATATGAATTATCATAGATGAAGGCTATCTAAGAGTTAGTTAGTTGTTTATTTCTTTAATCAAAAAGATTACTCAAAAACCATTATGGATTTTTAAAATATATTATTGTCGGTGTTACGTTATTAATTGATGTGTTAAAATTAAATTTTGATATTAAATCATATTATTATTATTATTTCATTTATTTAACACCCAATGTAAGTTACAAGGTAAAAAAGAAAAATAAGATAGTTATTTCTCGTGATTTTCACTTGAGAATTTTTTCTTTCAGAATTTGTTTAAAAATTCCTCTTTGTTCTTTCACATTCCAGCACTCTATTGCTACGTTTGGTAGGGTAAAATATTTAATTTGGGTAATAATTTTTAAATTAAACTTTATTAAATCTTGAAAAATTTAGTTCAAGATAAATTTAAAAAAATTAATTAGCATTTACTTCAAATAACTTTTGCATAACATTTCGGTCAATATTTTTTTATAGCACAATTTAATATCAACTTTTTTATTAAACCTTATTAAACTTTTTTTAACTAAATATTTTCTTAATTCAAA